ATCACCGTCCAAGAGAAGAAGTTTCCTTGAAGGTTCCTAACCATTTACTTCAACACATTCACACTGTAGTGTAGGAACGTAGCATAAGACAGAAACTGCGTTGACGTATAAAAAATTACCATTTAAGTCAATGGGAAAAAGGGATAGGGAGACGAAGAAGACCCCATTAGAGCACTTCCAGCAGTTGGAATCTTGCCATGGCAAGGGGGGGCTAGGGCTGACACCATTTAGCTGACACTATTCACGAGAATAGTTTCTGCCCTTGCAAAAAGTAAGTTCTACTTCCAGCAGTTGCCATGGCAAGGGGGGGTACTATTCAATTTTTTGTTTTTTTCACAAATTTGTTTACCTAAACAATTAATTTGGACAATATATTCGGATGAGATTTTCTGATAAAATATTCGGATAAGATTTTCAGATAAGATTTTCGGTTTCAAATTTCAGATAATTTTTTTTTTCAAATTTCAGATTTTCAAATTTAATGCTTTGGTTGTGGTTAGTTTTTTTATACATTGAATTTTTTGAATAAAAAGGAATTTTATTTAATAATTTCTTTGGTAACTCAAAGAAAACCAATACTACTAATACAATAAAATACATGAATTCCAACTAATTTTTAAAACAAAACATTAAAATACAATGAAATGAAAAGGCAAGCAAACTAACTTAAGGGTTTTCATCATTTAACCAATCCGTATTGCTAGGTCCATCATCACGAAAAAGTCTTCGTCTCATAATAGCCTTTCGTTCTAGCTTCCAATATTGTTTTGTTTCAGGAGACATGTGGCTTGTATCCATGGCCATGGTTTCCCGATCCTTCTTTTCTTCATTTTCTTTGCGTTGATACTCCCTTTCTTTGCGTACATACTCCCTTTCTTTAGCAAATTCTATTGCCATTGCCCTATCATCTTCTTGGACTTTCTTGTCTATTTCAATTCTCAAGGCGCTTTGCCTTGCAATTTCCTCCAAAAAGTTAGAGGTATTACTCGTATAATTAACTCCTCTCTTTGCCTTCGCCGCCTTCCTCCCCATAGGCCTCGGCTCCTTTTGAATGTGTAAGTCTTCACTCATAGGGGATTCCATAGGCGAATCCGAAGCTTGTGAATCATGAAGTGGCGTCTCGTTTAGCACCACCGTTGGAGCCGTTGAAATAATGCTAAATCTCTTACAATGCTTCACCACCTCCCAACATTGGGTATGGGTGAAACTTTTTTTCCCTAGTCCAGTAGCACCATAGAACATTTGAGCTTGCACAATCTATATAAAAAAAAATTGAATAAGCAAGGAACTTGAAAAAAAAATTGGTAATGCAAAAAAAATAAACATATGAATGAAAATATTAGAAATACAACATATAAAGAATGCAAGAAACATTCAAATAAATATTAGAAATACAAGAAATATTAAAAAATATATATATAAAAATTGCAAGAAACATTCAAATAAATATGGAAATACAAGAAATATTAACAAAATATAGAGAATGCAACAACCATTTAAATAAATATTAGAAATACAAGAAATAATAACAAAATATAAAAATTGCAAGAAACATTTAAATACATATGGAAATACAAGAAATATTAACAAAATATAGAGAATGCAACAACCATTTAAATAAATATTAGAAATACAAGAAATAATAACAAAATATAAAAATTGCAAGAAACATTTAAATACATATGGAAATACAAGAAATATTAACAAAATATAGAGAATGCAACAACCATTTACAACTCTTTGTTGGGAAGTTTCCACCGACTTGACAATGCGCTTTCCGTACGAGTGGAACCCGATCTTTCAACAAATTCGTGAAGAATTTTTTTCCACATTTGACTGAATTTCATCTCATTACCCGATATGGGATCATGACTAATTTGGACCCAACACTCACACAACAAGACATCTTCCATGATGCTCCATGCCCCTCCGGTTTCTTGAGAAAAAGCCATAATGATAGAGAAAAATTATACTTAAAAATGAAAACAATTTAGAGTAAAAAGTGAAGAAAATATTGAATAGAAAGTGAATAACAGTTGGAGAAGGAGAAGATGTATGAGAATTTGTTGTTAAAACTGAAGAGTAGGTGTTGGTATTTATAGAAAAAAAGTCAGTATTTTTTGGGATTTTTTAAAAAAATGTTATGATTTTTTTCATCAATTTTTGCCTGGAAAAATTCCAGGGCGTCGAATTGGCTGACAATGCGAAATCGGAAGGACGAGAGGCTGCCACGTCGCACGTTACTGTTGGGTGCAAAAGCTGACGCGCGATTTTGAATTTTTTTTAACGTCACGTGCCAACGGTAAAAATTTTTTACAATCGCGTGCTGACGTCACGCTGTCATAAGCGATGACGTCAGCTCGCACTCAGGCTGCCTCCGCCTTCGGGCCAGCCCAGGCAAGTGGACCCCACACTGCCTGGGCCAGCACTTGTTGCTGGAACCTGCTTTTGGGCTCCCCCTCCGGCCTGAGCCCGAGTGGGCTGCTGGAAATGCCCTTAAGATTACAATATCTATATAGAAAATTTTAACCTCACAAATTTAATTAATATTAATATTTATGGTGAGGGGGGCTGGTAAACAAAAGAAAGAGTTCCAACTAGTCTATGACAATATAAATATACATTTTCTCAAGTTTCCACAAACTCTTTATACTTTCGGGTTCTTATCTTCGACAGGAAAGCAGAGGTCAAGGCAAGGGTTAAAATCCATGGCAAGCATTGTTATTTTTAAAATATTATTTGGACTTAATAGTGTTAACGGAGAATAATATTTATTTGGAGTTTGACTTGTCATATTATTGGTCCTTATATTATTAGAACGATTTAAATGTAACGAAATGAGGGTGAATGCATAATTATTATGCAGAGGCTCAAAATCTTGAATACAATACCTATTTATCATGTAGTAAAAGAAAGCGAGTCACTATTAAAGATAAGAAGTTACCTTGAAGGTTCGTACCCTTGAAGGTAGAAGCGGACTAGGAAAAGTGAGTTCCCACTTGGGGTTTGAAAATGAAGATGAAAAAGACAGTGTTAATGTTGCTGAGATAATATGGTGTCTTCTGTTGCTGAGATAAACAACTCAGAAAACACATATGATGGTTCAAATGAAGCACATGCACCCTCTCATGGGTCAGAACCCACATGACATGAAAGCAACTCTGTAATTATTATTTTTTATATAGCAGTTTATATCAATTGCAAATAATAGTAAAAGGTGGGACTAAAAATCTGGAAAAAAAAAAAAAATTTAAGTCGCGGACATAGAGCCCCATTGTGAGAGAGAATACATTTTCCATCGAAGATACCATGTACTGAAAGAAAAGAGATACAAACCAGCCTTAATAATAGTGAAGAGGTACCTTAGCCAAAAAGTAGGTACCTTCGCATCTAGGAAAAAAACACGAGAAGTTGCCTTGAAGGTTCTTTACCCTTCACTTCAACAAATTGTAGGTACCTTCGCATTACAAAGAAACTGCGTCAACTGACTATAACTAAATACCATAGAGAGTCGTCAACATTGCTGCTATTAGACCAATATAAGAAAAAATAAACCATAAAACTTGTTTCAGTACTCTTTCAATTTTTTATTTTCAGACCTAAAAACAAAATCTTTGAATAGAAAGACCATCATTTGAAAGAGAGCGCGTCGGTGAAAAAATAAAAAGAAATATCACTGTTTGACCATGTGCACTATCTTAGGCCCAGTTTGGGATTGCTGTCACTTTTAAAAAAAGTTGCTTCTGCTGTGCTTTGAAAATAATTAGCTGTAAAGTAAAGCAGCTCCATGTTTTGTAAACAATATTTTTAAAGTGCTATTAGTACAAAAAGCAGTGTCAAAATCGTTTGGTAAATTTTAATATAAATTTGTTGTAACTGTGAATAATAACTAAAATAGACATGATGTTAAAAGTGTTATGTACTAATCATGTGGTGGTAGTGGTAGTGATGGAGTGGAGGTAGTGGTGGTGATGAAGGTGGAGTTGGTGGTTATGGTAGTGGTGGTGGTGGTGGTGGTGGTGGGGATGGTGATTGTGGAGGTGGTGGTAGTGGCAGCATGGTGGTGGTTGGTGTTGGTTGTGGAGGTGGTAGTTGATATGGAGGTTTTGGAGGAGGAGGTGGTTGTGGTGGTGGTGGTGGTGGAGGTGGAGGTGGAGGAGGTGGTGGAAGTGGAGGAGGAGGTCGTGAAGGTGGTGGAGGAGGTGGTGGTTGTGGTGGTGGTGGCGGAGGATGAGGAGGAGAAAGATGTGGTGATGGTGGTGGAGGTAGTGAATGCGGTGGTGCAAGTGGTGAAGTTGGATGTGGAAGTGGAGGTGGTGTCATTTTTTATAATGAATTATGGTATTTTGGGAATTAAAAATTTTCATTAAAAGTTCATCTCTGCTTCTTTTGAAAGCAGCTTTGAAAAGCAACCCAGAGCCTGCTTTTAAAAGCTGCTGTCAAAAGGCCACTGCTTTTAAAATAATCGTGATATTTTATTTTTACCAAACACCTTAAACTGCTTAACTTTAAAGTGAAGCAGATTTTTGGCCAAAAATGGCAATCCCAAACGGGACCTTAAAGCAGTGGGCGCATATCTAGCATCGAAAGTTCTTCATACAATGAAATGAAACATTGTTACTAAAATATCCCTATAATAATTTGAGCAAAAGTGAAAAAAACAAAAGAAAAACTTTTGTTGTTTTTTTTTTTCAATTTCTCCATAAACTTTATCTAAGAAAGCGGTTTTAAGACAACGAGATATAGTCCAGTGAAAAAGAGCCTTGACCTATAGACCAGAGGTCTCTAGTTCGAATCCATAAAATCCGTTTGAGTAATCTTTCAATTTTTTAATTTCAGACCAAAAAAAAAAAATCTTTGGATAGAAAGGCCATCATTTCAAAGAAAGCATGTTAGTGAAAAAAGAAATACCACAGTTTTACCACTTTTGTAGCTGCCAATGAAAAAGTAAAGGTAGTGCCCCTCACCTTCAGTAAGTTGCAACCATATATGCTTCAGTAATTAAAGACCGCGTCAGTAAGAAAAGAACATTCAGCGTTGATGACTTGAAGTTGAAACGAAATCTCCTCCACATGGAAGTTGAAACGAAATCTCCTCCACATGGAAGGTGGTAGGAAACTGCTTCGTCAAGCCCGCATAAATCTAACCGGAGCGCCACTGCCATACCCAATTCTTTGAGCTTCTCCATACTTCTAATTGTCTCACTCCTCCTATCTATGACAACTCAACCATTCTCTTCTTCTTCTTTCGCTCATGATTCTTCATGGACATATGATGTGTTCTTGAGTTTTAGAGGTAAGGATACACGCACCAATTTTACGGATCATTTGTACAAGGCCTTGTGTGATAAGGGCATCAACACCTTCATTGATCGAGAGCTTGTAAGAGGAGAAGAAATATCGCCAGCCCTTGTCAAAGCAATTGAAGAATCAAGAATTTCTCTCATTGTATTCTCTGAAAAGTATGCATCCTCGAGGTGGTGTTTGGATGAACTTGTCAAGATCCTTCAATGTAAACAATCAAAACAACAAATAGTTTTGCCCATTTTTTACAAGGTGGATCCGTCGGATGTGGGAAACCAAACAAATAGCTTTGGTTACGCATTTGAAGAACTTATTGAAAGCAAATTCAAAGATAACGAGGAGAAGGTGCTCATATGGAGGGAAGCTCTTAAAAAAGCAGCAAAATTGTCCGGTTATCCTTTCAAGGATGAAGAGTACGTATATTTCTATCTTTATCATTTTCATGTTTAATTTTTTCTCTCTTCTTTCTCATTACTATTTGTTACACATTTAATTAGGGGTGGGCACGGTATGGTATGGTACGGTATTGAGCCCGTATCGCTACTGATACCGGAAATTTAAATCGGTATGGTACGGTATGAGATTATAGTTTGTCAAAATTGGTACCGTACCGTACCGTGCCAATCAATATCGGTACGGTATCGGTACCATTTCGGTACCAAAATGATACAACTAAAAAATGAACCAATTCAATATTCAGCACCAAAATAAGTGATGCCCTAAGTTACAAATTCAAATATTCAACATATTCAATATCCAAATCCTAATCAACATATTCAATATCCAAATAAACCAAATCAATATTTATCCATCAACAAATTCATCAAACCAAAATGGTTAAAACTCATGCCTTATGGCTTACAAACCAAAATAGTTAAAATTATGCCTTATGGCTTACAAAAATACAAACACAATCCAAACATAAATGACAAAAACATAATGTTATACTATTTGGTAAGGTACGGTATTGACCGGTACCAAAATTTTGATACCGCTACCATACCATACTCTATTGGTACGGTACGGTACGGTACCGAATATCTCCCCATACCAAATGAAACGGTATGAAATCAGTATGGTACGGTGCGGTTAGGGTACGGTTTCGGTATTTCGGTTTAAGATGCCCACCCCTACATTTAATTGTATCTTATATATTTTAATAAGCATATAAAATAGACTAATAATATATAATTTTAAAAAAAAATTAGAAAAAGTAAAAAAGACATCAAGTCTTGTGTGCTGCCACACGTGGGTGGGAACAGGATTGCCACAGCAACTGCAAAATATTGGAAATAGAGAGTATTGTATGAGTCACCACATGATTAGCGAAAGTAACATTTCCAGAAATATTACTTAAATTTATCTATAAAAAATGTTTTGATGAAGATGCCGTCCACTTTTCTCAATAGAGTAATGTAATTATGTAACTCATAATATTGGAAATTGAATAAATATAAAATTACGAGTACTTTTGCTTTGTAGGATCTTATGTTGCTTGCTAAGTATCATATGATAATTTCGTCTTGACAAAAAAAGGTGAAACCGAATAGTGGCAAGTTGAGCTACTATTACGTAGTTAGAAGTATTCTGTTTATGTACAACTGTAGTGAGAAGATTTATTTTCTTGGGTACTTTTGTATTTTCGATAGCTGTAAGGAGAAAGTTCAAAATCCATAAATAAATCTCTTCAAAAGGCATACAAGTATAAATGATACATAACACAGGTTTGTGGTTAAACAACTATTACATCTTTTTTTCTTTTTTGGTCAGAAGAACTATTACGTACTTCAGTAGCTTGTGTTCTTTTGCGTGGTTGGATTTGTTTAAATCTGATTCATTGAATGTGTCTAATTTGGTTAAACTGGCAGGTATGAAACTACATTTATCAACAACATCGTTGATGAAATCATAAGCCGAGTACTGAGACGCACATGTTGGAATGTGGCCAAGCACCCAGTTGGAATTCAATCTTGTGTACGAGATGTGGAAAGGCATTTAGATGTTGGTGGGAATGATCGTCGCATGGTTGGGATATGGGGGACATCTGGAATAGGCAAGACAACAATTGCAAAAGCTATGTGGAATGCAATTGCACATAAATTTGAAGGAAGTTGCTTCTTGTCAAATGTTAGAGATAATTCAATGTCAGATGGAGACTTAATCAAGCTACAGGAGGCTCTTCTTCATCAAATTCTTGGCGTAGAATGGAAAATTCGTAGTGTTGATGAAGGAATTGGTGTCATAAAAGAACGGTTGAGCCATAAAAAAATTCTCTTAATTCTTGATGATGTGAATCAATTGAAGCAATTAGACAATTTGGCTGGTGTTGGTTGGTTTGGTGAGGGAAGTAGAGTCATTACAACTACGCAAGATAGGGGATTGCTAGAACGTCATGGAATTGATTCGATATACGAAGTCCAAATGTTATATGACGACCGAGCTCTTGAGCTTTTCAGTTTGAATGCCTTCGGAAAAAGTGAACCTCCAAATGATTATTTGGAACTCACAAAACGAGCAATAGCCTATGCTCAAGGCATTCCACTAGCTCTAACACTTTTAGGTTCTCATCTTCGTAATAAAGACAAAGATCGTTGGCAAGATATATTAGACAGTTATGAAGGAGAACCATATACAGGTATTCAAAAAATACTTCGAAAAAGTTATGATGCCTTGGAATATTCCGTGCAACAAGTTTTTCTAGACATTGCATGTTTCTTCAAGGGTGAAAAGAAGGAATATGTGCTACAGATAGTAAGCAATTCTAAGAACAAGGTCTCCCGAGATTGTATTGAAGTACTCATTGAGAAGGCAATGATAACTATTGACTATGGTAGGATTCAGATGCATGACTTACTTGAAAAACTGGGCAAGGATATAGTTTATGAAGAATCCCCCAATGATCCTGGTGAGCGTAGTAGATTGTGGTCACCTGAGGATGTCTACTCTGTTCTAACGGAGAAAAATAGAGTAAGTATAATATATGTTCTTATACTCAATTTGACAAGAACCAAGTGTACTAGCATTTGGTTTGAAAAACGACTTGGTTTCTTGATATTAATACTTTTCCATCTCAGGGAACAAGAAAAATTAAGGGCATCATGCTGAAGTTTTCCGAACCAGATGAGATACGCTTGCATTCAGAATGCTTTGTTGGGATGATAAATCTTGAAATTTTCATAAATCGTAATGTATTTCTGTCTGGTGACGTTGAATATCTGCCCAACGAGTTGAGGTTGATTGATTGGGGGGGTTATAGATGTCAGTTACAATCTTTGCCATCCGAGTTTCATCAAGTACATCTTGCTGACTTCAATATGCCTGGCGGTAGTGTCAAACGATTGGGGAAATTTAAGGTACCAATTTAAATTAATAACTTATGTATTATTATCTGTTTTCAGGAAGAAAAAAAATCTAAAGTTGTTTTTTAAAGGGTGTGATTTGATAATTTCCTATTTTATGTTTTTGTATCACAGAATATGCTAAATCTGACATCTATGGATTTAAGTGGTTGTCAATTCTTAGAAAAAATTCCTGACTTATCCGGAATCCCAAACATAAGGGACTTGAATCTAACTGACTGTACAAGTTTGGTTGAGGTTGATGATTCTGTTGGACTCCTTGATAAACTTGTTCGATTGAATCTTGAACGATGCGGTAGGCTTACGAGGTTTGCAACAAGACTTAGATTGAAATCCTTAAAAATACTTTGCCTTAATTATTGCGAAAGTTTGGAGAGTTTCCCAGAAATAGAGGAGATGGAATCACTATTGTTTTTGGACATGCGAGGAAGTGGCGTAAGAGGATTGCCTTCATCAATCAGCAAATGTGTCAACTTGCATGAACTTAACTTGCGTGATTGCAAGAATCTTCGAGAAATTCCAGAACAAGCGATTCCACCATCAGCACCTTTAGTACTCATTGATTCCTGCCCATCATTGGAAAAAATTCCAAAAGTGTCTTGGGTTTCGCTGGATTTGGAGAAAATTCCAGAAAGGCCACCGGGGAAAGATGACAAAATAAAGCTGCGGTTGTACAATTGCGTTAGACTACGAGGCAACGACATCACAGAAAATATTTTCCTGAATCAGGTTTCTGTTTATCCACTTTCTCATTACATCATTCATCTTCCAGGCGATGAAGTTCCAGAGTGGTTCAGCTGTCGTAAAGATGGAATAATAGTTAGACCTTATTTTGTTACACGTCCTGGAACAAAGAAATACCATGGTGGATGTGAAGTTAGTTTTGAAATTCCTCCAAATTTAAAATGGGAGACGTTAAGATTGGTTCTATGTGTTGCTGGTAGTGGTGCTGATGCCAAGATTCTTGTCAATGGAAAACTCGTAAATTCGGGTATTGTTGGTACTTCCGAATATGATAGTCATGTGGGGTTCCGTTGTATTCCATTAATGAATCGCAAGTTAGGAGAACCACCGAGGTTGAAGCAGGGCAATATCTGTCAAGTTATATTTGGCTTGAAGCCAGGGTACACACCCGTTGAAATATCCTGCGGGGTCCACCTGTTAGGCCACCAGGTTTATCTCCGTGAGACTTATGGGAGGCAGTGGTTGGCAGATTTGAGCGCAGAGACAATTGACAGAGGAGGGGCGAATCACCTAATGAGGAGGCACACTGATCTTAATGAGGAGCCAAAGTATGTAAATCCATTAAATGTTGAATGATAACTTTGCATTTTCTGGTCATATATCAGCGTTTTGTGTTCAATTCAAATTTAGCTATATTTTGTTGTGCATCTCTTGGGTATATGTTGTAGCTTTCAGGGTGTGAATTTTTTTTCCTTTTTGTTTTGGGTTAAATCCTTTTTCTTAGCGCTATACATTCGATATTAAATTTTCATGCAATGAAGTTCCAAAGTGGTTTATGTGAGCCCTAGGGTGAACTACCGAAACGTACCAAATTTCCGGGCAATGGTATGGTAATCAAGAGGTGTGTTGCGGCGCCAGCAGTTTCTGAGATTCCATTTTAAGTTGCATAAGGTAATACCTTTCTTCTCAATTGATGCATCCAGCATTTATCATCGGATAAACAAACCCCGATTTATGTAATGCTTTCATTCCACACATATACTTTGTCTATGATTCATCTATCTCATTCATTGGAATTGATGTATGTCGGGGATGAAATGTAACAGATTTATCTATTTCATAATTTTCAATCAAGGTTTGTTGAAAATTAGACATTAATTGTAAACAGACCTCCAAATATGCCCAACATATTTTTGTTGATAGTATCATGCATATTATGTTGTTTTCCAACTCCTGTCTAGTTTGCCAATAGATTTTGGTTCTTTGAATACCAGTTTCTGTTTGAACAGCCCTGGTAGAGCTAACATCTCCAATGGCTCCATTTACCCAAAAAAGAATTTGGCTTTAGAAACTACGAAAAAGACGCCAGAAATTATAACTTCTTTCTTTGTTCACGCAGCGACAGCGCATTATTATTGTCATTGCATGACCGGATGGCTACTGTAGATGTTGAATGTCCAATTTTATCCACCAAAAATTACAAGGGGCATCTCATAGCCAAAAGATAACTACAACTTACAATGTGAACGGACACCAACTAAAACTTACGAGAAACAGGAATAAATGTCCCTACAACACAAAAATTCACTTCATACAGCATTATTATAACAAGAGAGCGGCACAAAGCAGTGTAAATGTACAAATATGCATGGCAGAACCATGTGTCCGTGGAGCGCTGCAAAATCGCCCACATTGCCACAAAGAAAAAGCTCCGTATTGAATTGGCTCAAACCATCATATTCAAGCATCACCAACTTGGTTATATTCCTAAAGCCACTGTCCAACAAATACAAAAGCCTATACCTCATTTTTGCCACCATTCTTGGTGTATGGTGCCTTTACAGCTCTGCATGGTGGCCTTGAAACTTGTTTGAATTGAGTTGTATTTCCTATCATATAGCCAGCCACACCGAAAGACCATGCACATACCACAAAGCAAATAATCTCGAACAATTATGATCGAAAGTTTGCCATTCGGAACAGTTTTAGCCAAGCAAATCTTTAAACAAGTTGGGATTCTGACTTGTTGGGGTCACACCCATCTGCCTTACACGTGCATCCTTTTCCAAGGAATCTTTAGGGTTAGGACCCTTATTCAATTGTGTTACCCCACTTTGAGCAGTTCTTGTAGCATTTGATAAGTCAGATGCAAGATTAAACTCATCCCTATTGGTTGGCAAAGGGTCGCCAACACTGCTACTGAGCCCGCTGAGAGATGTATCTGCATATAATCCCATAACATCAGGTGTCTTAGCAGCACCAGCTGCACCATGATTTGCAGTTAATGCAACTTCAGTTTGATCAAGAAGCCCTTCTAACTGCTTGAAAGGATCTACAGTGGAAGCAGTACTACTAGTTGAGTCACCCAAATCGAGCAAGTCTGGAGCAGGTTCATGATTAACTTTACAGCTGCTGCCTTTGATACCTGGGGTTTCTCTGAAGCATGGATATTTTCCTTAGACACCTTATGGTTGGCAGAAGATGGCCTCCTCTCGGTTTTTGATGATCCCCCAAACAGTGAACTGGCAAGCTTCTGCTTTTCTGGAGAAATTTCAACCTGGGGCCTCCTTGACTCATAAGTATTATGTGCTTTTGAATTTGAAGTGCTCGCGCTATCTATTTGTGTGACCCCATTCGCTGATTTCTGGAACTAGAACTAGAGGAATTTGAGATCGACAATGTTGGGGAGGAATATGTTGGCCTACCCCATTTTCTTTGAACACCATCTAGTCGTAACTTAAGTTCCGATGATCCTGCATCTGACACAGGTGGCAATGATGCAGGTTGGCGGATCTCCCAAGCATAAGATGGCTCAGGAACTGGAACAAGCTCAGTTGAGGATGTTACAGTTTCTGGTATTCTAGCTGGGTTTTTTTGTAAGAGAAGAATAGAAGAATCAGATAGAATGAAAAATGCTCTGCTTACACACCAAGTCTGTGTGCAAGACATTTTGTATATATTTTGTCTGTATGTAAGAATGAATCTCAGCCATCCATCTGACCAAAAAACTACAGTCACCACATATGACTATTTTGACCTCACACTTGGCAGATATGCTCAAGTGAATACACACATAAAGTTCATCTTATTACACTAATACTAATCAGCTACAGACTTATAGTTCAACACTCCCCTTTAAGTCTTGAGCTGATTTCACTCCGAGCATACTCCTGAGATAGTTGAAGCGATCCTTAGCCAAAAGTTTTGTGAAGATATCTGCTACCTGCTCTTTAGTGGGACAATACACCAAATCAATGGTTCCTTCCTGCAATGCATCCTTAATAAAATGATACCTTCTGTCAATGTGCTTGGTCCTTTGATGGAACACAGAATTCTTTATAATAGCAATGGCAGAAGTGTTATCGCAATGAAGAGGAGTAGCTTTAGTTTGTATTTCTCCAAAATCTTCCAAAATGAACCTCAGCCATATGGCTTGAGTTGTGGCTTTTGATGCGCTTATATATTCAGCTTCTGCAGTTGAAAGAGAACACAGTTTTGCTTGACTGAAGCCCAAGAAAACACCCCACTCCCAAATGAGAATGCATATCCTGATGTACTCTTGCTGTCCTCCAATGAGCCACCCCAATCGTTGTCACAGAAGCCGATTAAACAAGCTTTCCTTCCCTTCACATACTCCAGGCCATAATCCAGAGTTCCCTTGATGTATCTGAGTACTCTTTTTGCAGTTCCATAGTGTTTATTTGTAGGACAATGCATGAATCTTGCCAATAAACTTGTTGCATACATTATATACGGCCTTGTAGCAGTGAGATAGAGAAGACTTCCACTACTACATTTTACAGTTTGCGCGACAAAGAAATTTCCGTCGCGCAAAGTGCACTGTAGTCGCAAAAATGTAAGCGCAAAGTGCACTACTACATTTTACAGCATCTGTCGCGCGAAGATCATCAAGAAAGACTTTGCGTGACCAAATATTGTCATTCGTCGCGCAAAATTGAGCGACGATTAGCCTTCGTTGCACAAAATTTGCAGGGACAACAGAAAGTTTCGTCGCGCAAACAGTTGTGCGACGAAAATATATTCGTTACGCAAACTTTGCGCGGACAGGATATTTTTGTCGCGCAAAAGTTCGAGCGACGAGACTGGGTTTGGTACGCAAACTTTGCACGACGGGATATTTTCGTCGCTCATATCGTGTCCCAATCATCTACGCGACGACACGTAATGCGCGACAGAAAGTTCTTCGTCGGGCATACCTGTTTAGCGAGACGAAATTTTATGTCGCGCAAAAATAAAAAATGTTTTAAATTCATTTTAATTTTTAATTTGCGCAACCAAAAGGTTTTCGTCGTGCAAAAAAATATATGTTATTATTTAAATTTAATTTTCCGTTTCTTTTATTTTGTTAATTTAAATTTAAAATTTGGTTAATTTTTTTTTTCAATAAAATAAAATTGCATTCAAAAAATGTAATGAAGAGAAAAGAAATGTTATAAAATAATATAAATGTAATTACAAGAAAAATTCTTAAAATGTAATAACAAATACAAAACTAATCGAATAAAGTTCCAAAATCAACGTGGTCGTCTGGGAGATGCAGCTCGGACGTCTGGGCATTGTCGGCAAGGGCAGATGTCTGGTGGCCAGGTTCGGGGGGCTGGGAGGTTGAGGAGGAACCAAACTGCGGGATTGGAATGTCGGACCGAGCAAGGGACTCTAGAATCATAGACATCTGACCCTTAAGCTCGGCCACCGTCGCTGTCAAAGCAGTCACCTCATTTGACTGCGACGATGAACGAGGTATAGGTTCCTGCTGCCGGCCATTCCCCATCCCTCGACAATATGTCCCGGGCCTTCTCCCGAGAGTCTGATCCAACGTCTCCGTCAAGATCTGAAACCCTACATCCTGTGGAGGATGCACAGACTTGAGCGGAGTATCGAAAGGAAGTTGGGAGGCAGACTCCTGAAGAACCAACTGGCTCTTCTCTACCATCGTCGTCTGTTTAATTAAAATGAAAGAATTAAAACATAAAATATTAAAATTAATTAAAACATTCATATAACCATGAAACTTGAATGCGTAGATAATAATTAAAAATAAAGAATACTTACATGAATGGACTCGGCCAACTCATTCCCAAGTCGAATATAAACGTCGCCAAAAACGTTGATCTCCGGGAATTTGGACCCCCCCTGAATTGAACAAGACAAGAAAAATGTTAGTACGAAAAATAGAAATTAATATTAATTACATATTCAAAATTGGATATAAAACTATTTTATTATTACCCGTCGTCGTGCGTCCATCCTATAAGAGAAGGGCTTAGAACCTGAATGGTGGAGAAGAGTCTTCTTCTTCCTATTGCCCTTATTTATTGTGGCCTTATTCTATTATACAAAAAATAAACATATCAGTTGAAATTGAAATGAAATAGAAAAAATTAAATAAAAATTAATAAGAAACATGTAATAAGTTTGAACTTAATATATAAAAAAATACCACATATTCGGGCTCCAGAAAATGAGCGCAGAGCCACGCCCAACTATTCTCCCGCCCCTCAAGCTCCTTCGGGCAACCCTCTGGAAGAGCGACTTGCGGATCATCAAATGCCTGAAAATGGTGGTGCAAGTCGCTCTTCCACTGCTTGTACCTCTCACCAAAAAGTCTGTTGATGTACGCCAATGACTCATCATTGAGGTCCTCTAAATTGTAGTTAGTCTGCAATAAATTCATTACAGACATTTAGTAATATAAATAAATAAAATTTGAAGGACAAACAAATAAAATATAGGATACATACCGACAACTGTCCGTGCACCTCCATCTTGACCTCGTCAGGTATGACCTTCCAAAACTTCCATTGCATAGGGCAATGGGTCCGAACAACATGACCAATGTCAGTCAATTTTAGGGTTTTAGAACTCTGATATAAGTGATATAAAAGGCCAGCCAAGGCCCCGGGATACGCATTCACGTCCAAAAGGGATCAACCGCGTAAGAGGAGAAAGCTGCCAACGAGTTCTTTCTTTTCCTTTCTTCTTTTAAGTTTCAGTTCTTATGTATTTATTTTTGAGTTCATCCAAGAGCATGAGTAACTAATTTCTTGTTAGTTAGGGCTTAATCTTGAAGCCCTAAACATGATTTCAATTCTATA